CTTGGGGGTGGTGGGTGCAGGCTCCTTGGGGGTGGTGGGTGCAGGCTTCTTAGTGGTGGTGGGTGCAGGTTCCTTGGGGGTGGTCAGAGAAGGATCTTTGGTTGTAGTGTCAGCTTTTGGTGTAGGTTTAGCAGGAACTTCGGGTGTGGGTGCCAAATCTTTAGCAGATGTTTTCTCTGCACTTCGAATCTCCTTAGCTGAAGTAGTCTTCTGTTTCTCACTAGTGGAAGTCTGTTGGTTTGTTACAGTAGTCTCTTTAGTTTCAACTGTTGTCTCTTTATTGGCTGTGGAAGATGTCTTTTGGGATGTATCAGAGTTAGGCGGAAGACTGGGTTTAAGACTTTCTGGCTTTATTGTTGGAGTCTTGGGAGATGTGGTAACTTTATTGTTTTGAGTGGTAGGAGTGTCAGGAGTTGGGGTGAGCTTGGGATCGCCACTGTCCAGGCCACTTCCAGCTTCATCCACAACTGGTGGTTCCTTTTTAGGTTCCTTTTTAGGTGGTTTTTTCTTGTCATCGTTTACTAAGGAAAAAACATACATCTTGTTATTTTTTAAGTTTTTTTTTTTTTCTTTTCCCCTTCAGTAGTGACATAAAGATCCTTATCACTGACTAGTTGTGTGTTTCTGGACATATTGCTAACTTTTATAATTTATTATAAAATGGTAATATTCAACCTCTCTTCTGCTTTTCTTTTTGTATGTGGCTACATTCCCAGTCCTTTTTTAAAAATTTTGAGACAGGGTCTTGCTAAATTGCTGAAACTAGGCTCAAACTTGTGATCTCACTGCCTCAACACCCCCAGTCACTGGGATTATAGGCTCGTGCCACTATAACCAGCTCAAAATATTACTTTAGGGAAAGAAAATGAATAGATTGAAGCCATTCTGAAGTCACCAAAATGATCAATAATACTAATTCATCTTTTTACATTAATGTTCTTTCTCTTCACTTTCCCCACCCCCACCCTTATTCCTCATTACACAGTGCTGCCCTTTCCCCCTAGGAAACTAGTTCCAATAACTTGTGTCACTACACCCATTAACTCAGAGGCCTCTGCACTCGCCTCTGGGAATGGGCCTCATTCTTCCCATAGGTTCCTGCTGAGCCCTGTTCCCATACATAGAGCTATTAGTGCTCTCTTTCCCCTGCTCAGCTAAACTTGACAGTCCCAAAAGAGGAGATTAGGATGCCAGAGCAGCAAAAAGGAGTTCCCAAAGCAGCTACCCAACAGGAGAACTGCAAAGCCAAAGGGCACTTCACTGAGATGAATTCCATTTAACAGATATGTATTGCATTTCTACTCTGTGCATCTCTATTCTTGGAATGACTCAAAGACTAAATATCTGGCTATTTGGCTAGAGAGGATGCTTCACAACCACCTAGGAAATAAGAGTTTAAAAATTCAGTATTTCCTAGAGAAAGAACATATTTTAGAATTTCAGGAAATAACAAAGAGAAGAACAGAGGCAATCTCTTTTCAGGAGATAAGAGCCTATTCTTTAGCACATTCTCTAGGAAAAATCATCCAGATATAATTTATTAGGAAAATGAAGAGTATGTGTAAAATGTGGACAATATATTGCTTTTCTGAAGAGGTTTATGAAAGGAGGAAGAGGGCTCTTGATTATTGGTAAAACACTTAAAACAGTATAAAAATGTTTGTTAAATAAGATAAACCTGGGGGAGGACACACAAAAACACAAAGAGGAGGAAGGGAAAGAAAGCAAAACTATCGGTAGACAGGAATCTCAGTACAACATGTCATCTCTGGTGCCATCCTGTGGTTCCACAGTCACTGCTACAGCATCTTCTTAGCTTTTGCTTTCAAGCGTGGCTTCTTAGCTGCTTTGCACTAATTTCCTGTAGGAAGTATTCATTTGGTACTTTCTAAAATTATTTTTATGAAGTTTTGTACCCCCACCCCCACATAATGAAAATATCTTCATTCTACTAACACGCATTACTTCTTAAAAATTATTGTTAATATGGCATTGATATAGTCTGTGATCTTTATCAATGCTCAAACCTTTGGGTTTCTTCTGTAATTCTTTATTAGCAGCTGAATTTTTGGAAGACTTGATTTTCCGAATAGTTGAAGAGGAAGAGGAAGAGGAGGAAGAGGACTCTTGGTTTTCAGAAACAGAATGTTCTATAAAATAAAAAGTTTGATCACACCAACTATGATTTAAAACAAAACAAAACAAAAGTTGCCAGTTCAAATACAGTAAGAACTGCTGATAACTGATCTACATGCTTGTGTTCTGCCTTTATTATATGATCAACTGCTTTTTAATTCATCTGTTGAAAGCAAGATGCCCTGGGTTTATCCACTCACTACCAATATGACTTTCAACTTTCCCACATATGCCAAAATTTCTTAGGAGTTAATTACTCTGCAAAGAAAATCATGGGTTCCTTTTTTTTCCCCCATTTTTTTACAGCAAGATTTATTCCTTCTTATAACTTTAACCTAGACCCTTACTGGATTTGGTAAATATAAAAAGACTATGTAGATAAATGCCTGGTAATTTATACTTTGGTTTAAACTGACTTAAAGCGAGTAAACAAAAAGTGTAATGAGCCTTTCATGACTCATAAGATTAGCCTCTGAGAATACTTTATATTGGTACACTACAGGTTATTTCATCTAGGAAATCTCCTGTAGTTACCTTCTGTCTTCTTCCTACCTTCTGTTATTTCCTCTGATTCTATAACTTTCTTAGTCTTCTTTTTTGGTGATTTGGGTGAACGTTTGGAGGTTGATTTGATGGTTTGAGATGCTCCTGGAGGCAGAGGTGCAGTCTTTGAAGGTGGTGGTGTTGTGGGATTGTGCACTGAGGCCAAGCAAGACAGGTCAGTTAACATCTGGTTTATGATCATCAGCAATGCTAACTGTAAAAAGCATGGGTGCATCTGGCTTCAAGAGTAGATGCTGATAAAATCCAGTACAGGAAGGCTCTAGACCATAACACAGAGAAGTCCAAACCAACTAATTCTGAGGCTGCATTGCTGTAAAATATTGATTCTCAAACTGTAGTAGGTTATAACAGAAGCAAAGTCTCGGGAATCAGTAGACCTATATGCCAGTGCTAAGCATGCACTATTAGGACCTTGGGCAAATAGGCTAACCTTTCATGAACTTTTCTCATCTGCAAACAGATGTTTATTCAAGATTTCTGAAGGTGTTTGCCCACCTTAAAAAAAAAAAATGATTCTGAGCTTCATCCATTATGCCATCCTTCCATGATTATAAAAATAGTACTGCATGCAGATGGCAGAGTATTTATGGTCTTGAGGAGTATAATAATTATACTTTTTTGTTTTCATATGTATTTGAATCAAATGATGCCAGTTAATGTTTTCGATTGTCAAAGTTCTACATGAATATTATGAAAATTTCGCACTTCCACATTATACTTTTCCTTCCCAAAGATAAACAAGTGTTAATGATTCCATGTGTATCTTCTTAACCTTTTATCTGCCCCCACAAACATATACACATACACTACATTTCTCCTTTTCATGTCTAAAAGTGAAGACTTGGAACATTTTTGATCAATAGAAACCAGAAGAAAAGGAAAGGGACTTTTGGAAGGTAAGGAAACAGCAATGGAGGCCCTCTGGTAGAGAAGAGCTGTGATCCATCCTCCTGCTCCCTCCAAACATCTCAGAACTCTACTGCTCCATGAACCGACCACTTCCCTCTCCATCTTCCTTCTCCCACCCAAAGATGCCAAGTATCCCACAGAGAGGAAGAGCTCTGCCACATACCAGTTAGCCATCTTGGCCAAACAGCTTCTTGAGCTCAATAGCATCAAAAGCACTTGGACAGCTATGACTTCCTTCAGTTCTTGAACTGTTAGGATTTCTAGATATCTAGATGCCTATAAGCAGTATCTAGAGCAAACCCTGAAACAACTTGACAGCGAGATTTAGGATAGTTTGCCATCTTTTAAAAGCAAAATACTGAAACTGTAGGTGGTGCCTTTATTTTCAGTGGGGATCCTGACATCCACTTGAATTCTGTAATTGAAGTTGACTGGCTTTGCTGTCATCAGTTTTTGTCATGAGTTCTGCCTAGACCTCAAGTACTGTACACTTGGTGGCATGAAGTAAGGCCCTTATTTAAATGTTCTCTCAAGGCTTCAGGACTCTCTAATCACCTTCCCTCCCTCCATCCTCCACCCAAAATAAATTCTTAGGTATTTTCTGTCTCATAGCCAAAGCCATTATCAGGATAATGAGTAAATATGTATCTCCCACCATGGGGCCTTCTGAAAGCTGCAGGAGTGCTGAGCTTTGAGATTTTTGATTATATGGGTGTTGTCTCTGTTCTTTTTGGAATGCTTTCCAGTGAAAACACTGAGCAGTTAGGAAATATCCCTCAACTCTGCTGGTTAACAATTTCCACTGTTTCTCCACTGTTCTAAAGAAGCAGGAAGTACAACCTTGTTTAAATAAAATGATAAGATTATATAAACATGCTTATTTTCACTATGACTTCCACAGATAGCCTCATTTTTCTTTTTCTTTTTTATTTATTGTTCATTTATTATTATTATTTTTTAATTTCAGGTATCCTCATTTTAACAAAGTATGGTTTAAGAGCAAACATTCAGTCATGGAAAGTAATCGATTAGGTAAGTGTATTTAAATTTTTTTTTTTTTTTTTTTTTTTTGCAAAATCTGGAGGGTTTAATTATACTCAGAGTATTCCTTCAGAACTTATGACCAAGGAAGAAGATTTTTAAAAGAAACTATCTCTTTTTATTGACTTCATTATTCACAGGCAATTGTATAGAAACTACTGAGGGGACCTGAGGAATGAATGGGAAGTTACCTATAACTGACAGTTAACAACTTCTTAGTAGATTTGCCTGTAAACATAGTGGCTTAAACTAGTTCATAAATTTATTTGTTGAAAAGCTGAAAGTGTCAATTCTGTCCAAAATATGTATTCAAACACTGAGGCCCAAAGGACAGTCGATTTTGTAGAGTCAGTACCATTAGGATGAGACAAGAAATCACAAAGTGAGCTGATTACTGTTGATTTAACTTGAAATTGAACCACATCAGAAGGAAAAAAGCTTATACACTCAATCTCTGTCTTCTCCATTACTCAACCAGCGATCTCTTGTGCTCCTGGAGCAATACCTGGGGCTGCAGTTGTTGGAAGATATTTTTCTTCTTTAATTCATCTTTGTAGAGCAAAATTATTATTAAGCAGCTAATGCATTAATAAAATCAAGACCTTAGGTGCACTGAGGTTAGACATCATCAGTGAAGCTAAGGGCTTCAGATCTGGCTATACTACTGAGAAACATTGCTAGGTACCATGATGCTTACCTTCTTCACAGAAAGTCTCATAGTCGGAACAGCACTTGCCAAACTTCTTACATTGGGAGTCACAGTCACACTCCCTCCCTCGCGCAAAGGACTCGAAGCAGCGACCTTTACAGGAAAGCTCTACCCGGAGCAAAACAAACACATGAATTAATGATACGAAGGCATACTTATGCATTTGGTAGCCATTTCCCTTCTGATAATTGACTAGAGTTCCAAAGGTGCATTTCTAAGTCTTTTATTTGGAATTTGAAGTACATCATCTAATAAACAATGGATGATGTCCAAATGGAGACAACCTAAGTCAAAAAAGAAATAAGGGTATTTGGGAAAATGTCACTTGTCCTTCAAGTTGCTAAGGGACACCCTAAGGCTGTCTGAGCCATTTACATATATGAATGCTGGGAACCTTTCATATGAGTTCCTTCCATCCCCCGCAATACCATTACTTTGTAATAGGTTGAAATTAGTTGAACACTCAAATTTTATGATTATATTCCAAAGAGCTGGTTCAATATAAATGAGTCACTGTTGAGGCTCAAAAATAATTGATAATGTAACTACGCAAGGTATGGAATTGAAAGATTTCAGCCTAATCTCATGGTGTGGACTATGTTAAGAGAAGCCTGCTCATTTCAAAATCAGCCTTGGGTAGAGGTACACGAGACTTACCAAGGCCTACCTGAAATCATTTCTTTACCCAACACATAAACTATACAACAATATTCACCAGCTTCACATGCAAATTCTAAAGCAAATATGACTTTTACAAAATGATAATTTTCATAAATTGAGTTTGAAGTGTTTCGAAGTTGATAGCAAAATGGCCCAAAATATGTTCAAGTGAAACACCATCAAAATCTAAAATTCAGACCCTTTGAGTTTTAACTGAAACTCATCATTAAACACTGGTGTTTCAAATTTAAGAGTGTCCTTTTCAGGTAATTTAAAAATATGTAATACGAAAAAGTCAGGTTGTAGACAAGATTACTGTATGCCCAAGAACCCCTTTGACGAAACTATGGAGAGCCCCCATCACTAAGCAATTACCCCTGTGTCAGTTAAAGATCACACATTGCTAGTTACTTAATGACTTCTGAGTCACAGTATGAAATCTTTATGTAAAACAAAGGCATTTTACTGGAAGTTAGTCAAATAATTTTGTGCAAGTGACATATTTCCAGGCGTCCCTCCACTCCCCAGTCATCACAGGCTGTCATCCCATCCCTAGGTACAGTGACCACGACATTTATGCAAGTGAAGGGAAAGGCACTTAAGCAAAGGAAGTGAAACAGAGGGAAAGCCACACTGCAAGGGGGCACAGGGGAGGCTCAGGGAACAGTGCTACGCGACAGCAGAGACGGGACTTACCTACAGTGCAGACTTTCTTGAAGTCAGGGCAGCACTCCATGTAGTGTTGACAGTTATAATCACAGTTGCAGATGGCATCTCTAGAATACCCTTCCCCACATCTCCCTGCACAGCTTGGTACATCTAAAATCATACAATACTAGGGTAAACATGGCCAAACCACTTTGAGAAAGGGAGAGAACTAATATGGAAGATAAAGCCAATGGGCGAGGGAAAATTTTATCAACTGGAAAATGTTGAGAATGATGGCTATGATTGATGACAAATGGTGGATCTCATGGAACCTTGATCATATCCCTTTATTTTTCACTAGACTGAAAAGATAAATACACCTTTGACAACCAGGCAAAGTAAGGGCTTTGTGTGAAGCACAGTATTTCTGGGGGAGGGGCGGCCACTACAGCTGCTGTGGCTGTGATGACCACTAGCTTCCATTTATTGAGCCTCTCTGGGCCAGGTACAGAGTAATACATTGTCTCTAATGCTTATGAAAATGTTTCCAGGAGAGTCTTAGTAGCCCTTTTGGATAAAAAATGCCAAAACAGAAATTTTAATAACTTGCTCAATGGCACACAGCTACTTAATCGTTCCAATGTATATTATAGGACAATTACCTATTAATAGGTCAAAGACCAACTAATTATTTACACTGATCTCTTGAACTCTTTTAAGTATCCCTTAAAAGAGTTGTTATATATATATATATATATATATATTTATTATTATTATTATTAATTATTATCCCTGGATAATAAATTATATGGTCACTCTAAGTAAACAACCCATCCAGAACTTGAACTCTGACATACCAGATTCTAAAACCCAAGCTTCTCCTACCCAGTTACGTTGCCTCTTATTCCCAATGATGAGTTTAAAGCAAACTTGTTGGGACAGTACACACTTTGCTAGGTGTTCTCCTTTTTTAGTGGGGACAACAGAGAACCCTTGAAATAGCATCTGGGCATGAATATAAAGGTTATGAACAGAGTCTTTCTGGGCAAATTGTATTAAAAGCATAATTATCCTCAAATATTTCTAAAAGCCATTTGGAAAACAACACTTCAAAAGCCTCCCTGAGAGAGAACCACAGGAATGTAACAGTGGAATCCATCTCTGCAATAGAAATTGGCAGGTGCAATGTCCTAAATCCAAAGAGAGATGTTGCAACACACTGAAAAAATCTCAAAAGAGAATCCAGGAATGTTAAAGTCTTAATATGCAAATAAACAATGAAGAGTGGGATAACTCTCAGAACTTTTGCATACATATATATGTGCACATATATAAAAATGCATATATAGTGTATGTATATAAATACATATATTATATATAAAGAAAAAAGAATGAGAAGAGGTTGAGAAGGCAAGAAAAGCAGACAAAACAACACCAAAAGATTGTTCTTTTACATTTAGCAGATTTCTGAAATAAGAAATCAATTCTCTTTACCAGAAAAAATTAATTTTCATAGATGATATGTCTGTTTTATTTTTATTACTATTAATTACAACCACTAATTCTAATTTTATTTATTCAAAAGAAAGTGCAACTTTCTGTGAACAAGCAATTATATCAGAAAGGAAAGGGTGATCTAGGTAATGTGCATCTTGGAACACCATTATGAGAGAGCGTAGGGTCTAGGGGTACAAGACTGGCCATCACTCCAGGTTAAATACTTATATTTGCTTTTCTGTGTTTGTGTTTTTTCAGTACTGAGGTTGGAATCCAGGGCCTTGCATTTGCTAGGCAAGCACTCTACCACCAAGGTACATCCCTAGACCTAGTTTGCTTGTGTTTTTTCATCTTATCTGAGTGATTCCACACCTATACCTATGCAAGCAATAATCTCTCCTGTTCAGATTTCATGAGAATTTTAGTTATTTTACTAGAAAAGTCTGCTTTGGCCAGGCATGGTGGCACACACCTGGAATTCCAGCTACTTGGAACAGCTGGGACAAGAAGACCACAAGTTTGAGGCTAGCCTCAATAATTTAATGAGACATTGTCTCAAAAGAAAAAAATAAAATAAAAGGGTCTGGGATTATTCTTGATGATAGAGCACCACTGGGTTAAAAAAAAAGGTGGGGGGAGGAAGGAAGGAAGGAAGGAGGGAGGGAGGAAGGAAGGAAGGAAGGAAGGAAAAGAAAAGTAATGTTAACTTTAAAAAGGTAATTCATGGGGTTGGGGCTGTGGCTCAGTGGCAGTGCACTTGCCTGGCATGTGTGAGGCACTGGGTTTGATTCTCAGCACCACATAAACATAAATAAAATAAAGGTCTATCAACAACTAAAAAATAAGACTAAAAAATTAAAAAAAAAAAAAAAAGGTAACTTTATGCTGGGTGAGATGGAGCATTCCCAGCAACTCAGGAGGCTGAAGCAGGAGAATCGAAAGTTAAAGACCAGCCTCAGCAACTTTTCAAGGCCCTAAGCAACTTAGCATGACCCTGACTCAAAATAACTAAAAAGGGCTGGGGATGTGGCTCAGTGGTTAAGTGCCTCTGGAGTCAATCTCCAATACAAAAAGAAAAAAGAAAAGAAAAGAAAGAAAGAAATGTAACTTCACAATAATGATCCTGAGTCTTGATTTTTCTTCTCTTGGGTTTTGTACATCAAATGGAATGAAGGGGCTAGTCTAAAGCTGGGAACTATTACCACTAATCCACCTAAAGCTTATGCTAGAGAACTGTGCAAACATGATTAGCTGAAAATATCTTAACCCTCTCTAAAAATGAATAACAAAAATTGTTCATCTAGGATTGACTCTGGTGAGGACTATGAATGGTTCAATATTATAATACAAAATGACATTTGTGGATGCTTCAGTTCGTATTTGGATGAATAATTCTGATAAGAAAGAATGCTTAATACTAATAAAATGCTACATCAAACATTGTAAATGTTCATATAATATAATACCTAGGTCTACAAGATGCCAAATTAAGTTACTTACAATAATTTTCTTGGTGGAAAAAAATTTGTCAAAATAGAGGGGGAAAATGTTCTTTACAGTTATTTTGGAGATATTATAGAGTTCCAGCTTAGTTTTGCCATGTAAAGGTCTGAATTTTTTAAACATTTGGGGGCACTATAGGAATAATGACTGCAAAAATTGTTTTATACCAAAACTCTGAGCTGGGATGCAGCTCAGTAGTAAAGCACTTGCCTAACATGTATAATGCGTGTTAGGCCCTTGGTTCCAGCCCCAGCTTTGCAAACACAACAACAGCAACAAAAAAGTTCAAAACTTCTTGAAAGATTTCATTATGTAGGAGAAAAGGATGAGAATTCCCAAGCACTTACAAATATATTACATGTTTTGCATAACTTTAAGTTTATACTCAATATTAAACTCAGGCAAATATCAATTTTTGAAACTCATTTTCTTGTCATAAAGATCAAAAACTGAATGCTCATCAATAGTTGTTAAATAAAAATATTTTTGATGGTTAAGGTACCTTGAGATGAAACTTGCTGAATCAAAAAAACAGAAAGTAGCAGCAACAAGCAAATGGGTAGTATTTTCCACTCCATGGTTGTTTTCCGGTACTGTACTCTCACTGGAAATAAAATAAATGTATCAGAAAAATGCTCTTTAAACTCACCATCAAATAAATGTGTGTGTGCATTATACCCAATGTTTCAGTAACTTTCAAAATGCAGTTTAATAATAAAGCCATTCCATTCTTGAACCTTTAATCAGCATGAGGAATTCTATAGAAAATATTTGATCACTACATTTCCTTTTAGGCAGAACAAGTCATCAAGTCACCTCAATCACATTATTGAGCACTTTAATATGTTAGAACCCTCCAAAATAGAAAATGGGCTTATTTAAAAACTCTATTCCAAGTATAGCATGTACTTACAGAGTAACCTTTAAATCCTACAATGGGAAACAAAATAACCAGCTTCAGTAAAATTTAACTTAATAAACATTGTGGAGTTACTACTCTGACTTTTCCTTAACTCTCAATATGAATTTATAGGCTTCCAACAGGTGTATTGCATAAATATTATCCTTTTCAAAACTCTCCAACTACTATCCTTATAAATCTTTCTCAAGCAAGCACCTTAAATGAAAACACATTTAATCCCACAGAGCAAGTTAACTTTGACACTTACCCGTGAAAGGACAGATGAATTTCTCCAATGTCCTGGAAGTCTTATATATCAGTGCAAATACATTGGGATGAACCAATTAGTCCAAAGGTTAGACAAAATCAACAGTGACAACCTATGAAATCAAACTTTCCTCATTTATTGGAAGACAGCCCAGACGACTAGACTTAGGCAACATCTGGAAAACACTTCCATTAAGAAAAATGACTACTACAAAATAAATTTAGATTTATTGGCCAAAACACATTTCTAATTTCTAAGTGAAGTGAACAAATTGTCCTGAGATGGTAAATCACTCTGGCTGGCTTTGACTAATGGATCAAAGTAGCAAGTTTAAAATAGTCAAAAGCTGGTAGATTTTTTTTCCTCCCCAAGTTAAATCTAGCAAAGATGGTATTAAAATTTATCTTCTGTTAGCTTGTGGCATAAATTTTCTAAATTTGTACCAATAAATCAAATGTACATGTCTTGAGTGTTTTCGTTTCCACGTTTCCACTAAGCACAGAATACATATACTGTCAATTACCTACAGGTAAATCATCCACAGGGCAAGGTAGAGGGAGGGTGGGCTCCAGTATCCTTTACCATGTAAAAAAAATCTGCTTAAAAACTATATGGCTATTTCCCTTAGCTCCATTTAAGACCAGCAGTGTTTGAAAAAGTCTTCTAAATTACTAATTTAACTTCCTTGCCACAGAAAATGTGAACCATCAATCATGCAGAGCTAAATCAGCCTGGCCCCAGGCTTTATCCCATTTTGATATGGAATATCAAATCTGTTCCTGTTCAAATCTTACCTACAACACAAGTCTCACTCATGTCCTAGCACCTCCCACAAACCTTCCCAGACCAATCCAAACCACATATAAAATCAGGCAACAAGTATGTTTCATTGAAATTATCTGTAACTTTGCCTTCCACCTACAAAAGACTTTGATTTTTCCCAAAGTCAACCAATACCTGTATCTTAATTTTATTGCCAACATATAATCCAGTGCTTCACCACGGTTGTCTATTTATACACACTCAGCATTCAAACTGATCTAGCCTGGATTCTGCCTTGTACTCTGTTTGGTAGATGCTATATTTAATTATCATGAAATGCCTTTAAGTAAAATGTAATCATCCACATCTTACACATAAGAAGATGAAGTGCCCCAACTGAAGAACTTGTGACCCATCCAAGAATCCATGAAGACTGGGAGCCAAGACCCAGACTTGATTCCATAGCTTTGAGTTATTGCCACTATATCCAACTCTCTTTTGATCAAAACCATTGCTTAGTACATAATCATTGTACTATAGTTTATTCCTTGATATTTATATATGTTTATGAGATTGAGATTTTTTTAAGGATAAGGATTATAATAAGAACATCTCTTTTGTTCCCATGATGCTTATTTCTGGGCTAGATACAAAGAGAACTTGGAGCTTCTCTTCCCGTCTCTTGAGAATTCCTTTCTCCTGGACCTCCCTCTCCATTGACAGGATTTTGTAGTTTTGGTTGCATATGTTGCATATGTGATCTTGCCACGTCAGCGACAGCTGACAGGCCTAGAAGTAGGAACTTGAACTAAAGTGGGCTGATATGTTTCCCTATTCCTAGAAATTTTAATTCAGAAATTACAAGTCTGTCTAAGTAGATTAATAACATGTAAACTTCTACCCATGGTCTGAAGAAATGGAGATCTCTAAGTCCTTAGAATAAAAAGATGGAAATGACTGAAGCAGCCATGCAGAGAGATTTCTAGTAAACTTTCCAAGTCCTGGTGACTATTCTTTAGACCCAACTTCTTTTTTTTTTAATATTTATTTTTTAGTTTTTGGCAGACACAACATCTTTGTTAGTATATGGTGCTGAGGATCGAACCCGGGCCGCACGCATGGCAGGTGAGCGCGCTACCGCTTGAGCCACATCCTCAGCCCCTAGACCCAACTTCTTGTTCCATGCTTTTATCATAAATTCTTCCTTTGGAGTTATAGCTGGCAAGATGCTTTCTTACTATTTAAAATCATAAATCAATTCATAATATATTTATGAATTATTGATGGAGTTGAACTGAATTATCTTAATTCTTAGGTTTATTGGAGTCAATAGAGGGAAACAAGAAACTCTGTAACCTTCAAGTCAGACCTCTATAATATTGCTTATTATTTATTAGAAATGTTGGAAAAACTTGTGATCTTCCTGCCTCAGCCTCCTGAGCTGCTGGGATTATAGCAAAAACTTTTTTTTTTTTTTTTGTACTAGGGATTGAACCCAGGGTGCTTTACCACAGAGCTATATCCCCAGCCCTCATTATGTTTCATTTTGTGATAGGGTCTTGCTTAGGGCCTCACTAAGTCACCAAGGCTGGTTTTTAACTTGTGATCTTCTTAACTCAACTTCCCAAGCTACTGGGATTACAGGCATGCACAACCACACCTGATCTGGCTCCTATTCTTAAATAATATATAAATTGTTCTTTGATTACTGCCTTTTGATCTATCCATACTGTCATTTTCCTCCTTTGTATGAAATTCTTTATAGTGACGGCAAATGACATTCTTAACTTGATTGGCTGATATGCACTTGTTCATTTTGGCGGGGGGGGGGGGGGGGGGTACAGGGATTGTACCCATGGGTCCTTAATCACTGAGCCAGCCCTTTTTATTTTTCATTTTGAGACAGTGTCTTGTTATTTCTTAGAGCCTCACTAAATTGCTAAGACTGGCCTTGACCTTGCGATCCTCCTGCCTAAACCTCCCAAATTGCTGGGATTATAGATGTCCACCATCACATCCAGCTATGCACTACTTCTGAAATCCAAGTTCCAGGATTGGAAAACTGACAAAGAAAATAAGCACAGACGTATTTATAGCCAATGTAAACTACAACCTTAATATTTCCATTACATATTCCATTGTCATCAAATATATTTTCTCTATATAAAGTATGAAAAAGAATGACAGCAAGTGTAGTGGCACATGCCTGTTATCCCAGGAGCTCAGGAGGCTGAGGCAGGAGAATCACAAGTTCAAAACCAGCCTCAGCAAGTCAGCGAGGTCCTAAGCAACTCAGTGAGACCCTGTCTCTAAATAAAATAAAAAAAACAGGACTGAGGATGTGGCTCAGTGGTAAAGTGCCCCTAGGTTCTATCCCCAATGAGAGAGAGAGAGACACTATTAAATGCCTAGCTCTTTAGATATACCTAATTATATTTACCTATGATTTGCCTAATTCCACTGAATAATGAATGAGGTTGTTTTAAGTTTATCCTTGCAGTGTGAGAATATTGTTATCTATTAAATGTATTTTCATAAACTACACTAAACATTCCGTTCCGTATTGGTCCATTTAGCCTTCCTCATTGGTCACACAACAATTGTCCTATTAGGTTATAAGCTTTCCTGTTGCAATTTCATTTCCTATTAAAGGCCTTTTCTCGATGTTCACTTAAATCTCATCTAATTGGGATTAGAAAAAAAATATTGCAGGATTCGTTTCTGATGCGGAGGAACTGGGAGGAGGAGAGCAAAGAGGGGTACGGAGGACATGCACGTGGCCGCACCCTGCACGTGCTTCTAGGAATGACTTTCACATGGTGCCCGCAGGTGTCTTGCTTCGTGCTTGGCAGCAGCACAGCCAGGGAACCTTCAAAGGTGTGTGAGGATATTTCCTCTGCATTAGATTATCTCAGACTGTCGTCCCCTTCTGCTTGGTGTGTTAGCTGTCACCTTGCCCTGTAGCCAGAGCGTCTGTACCTAGTGGCTTCCCTCCACCTCTCCACCTTTCCACATCTTGGGTCTGTTTCATTTCCTTCCAGCAGCAGCCTAGGAAAAACTGAAGCATGCCAAGGGAAAATCACAGATGCAGGCTTGTTCTTTTCCTGTGCCGATTCTATGCACAGTGCTGGGTGAGTGCACTCCAGAGGTGGAAAACTCCCTCCTCTCCAGGACTCCGGGACAACTACTGGCCTTTTTTTTTTTTTAATATTTAGTTAGTTAGTTAGTTAGTTTTCAGCGGACACAACATCTTTGTTTGTATGTGGTGCTGAGGATAGAACCCCGGCCGCACGCATGCCAGGCGAGCGGCTACCACTTGAGCCACATCCCCAGCCCCAACTACTGGCCTTTCTGTTCAAGGCATTTTCACAAACTGGAAGGGATTATTTTGTTTTGTTTTGCTGTTGTTTCAAAGTCTTACCATTATTGCCTAGCATGTGTAAGGTCCTGGGTTCAATCCCCAACACCACCAGAAAAAAAAAAAAATCTAACCATGAAGATATTGTAAGTATTATTGCATTTGCTTTTGGGTACTGGTAGTCTGATATTTGATCCCAGTCTTTTCAGTTTTTCTAGTTGCTCCTCTAGAAACTACATTTCCCAGCTTCCCTTTTAATTATTGTGACTTTTGACTGTGTTTTCTCTGA